ACTTCTACTATTACTACCACTACTACCACTACTACTACTACTACTACTATTACTACTACTACTACTACTACTACTACTTCTACTAACTACTACTACTACTACTACTACTACTACTACTACTACTACTACTAACTTCTGCTACTACTACTACTACTCCTACTACTACTACTACTACTACTACTACTACTCCTACTACTACTACTACCAAGACGGCGGCGACGGCGACGATGACCACTATACTGCATATTTATAGTATATGTATGTATGTATGTATGTATGTATGTATGTATGTATGTATGTATGCAATACCATGTAATGTTTCTACCGGTGCAATGTAGCTGGGACGGTTCGCAGCATGCTCAACAGCTTCAGGTGTCATCGCGATCATGTTTAACATATTTCCCACAGACGATCGTTAAGCTACGGTTGATGATATAAATCTTGCATTACCCATGATAAGGAATATACCATAATCCCATAGTTAAGGGTCCTTAAAAGGCAATCCAGGATTTATATCATCAGCAGTATTTCTAGCAGTGGTGCAAGTCAACTTTTGTGTTTCTGTTGCTCCCTGAGATTAGCTTAGCGACTTTGCAACAACATCCAAAGCACTAAACTCAGTCCTGAACCAGAGAACATCTTAAGTCCTGAATCTTGTATATATATAATATGTATGAATATATATATATATACATACGCGAGACCTTTACCACGTGAGAGCAAAGAAACCGGATGCCCAAACCCTTGACCCCCCACAATGCTGAACCAGACAATCTCAAGTCATATTGCGAGAGTAAGAAAATTACAACTTTGTTAAGTTATCAAGAAAAGCAGTCGCAATTATGATCCCGAGTGGGCACTGCGTTCGCAACGAAGAGACGAGGAGTGGCTCCAAGGTGAAGACAAGGAAGCCTTATCGAACATGTGGCGACAAGTATGCAAGAGTCATGAGGCCGTTGCAATTCCCCAGAGCCGATAAACTTGCAGCAGTTCCTGTGGACCCCACCCATCAATTCACAAAAGCTCAAAAAGCAAGCAGTACCACTGAACCCCAAACCTCAAACCCTACACCCCAGACCTCAAACGGCAAACCTTTAAAATCAAACCCAAAACCGAAAACCCTATAGATCCCGTAGAGGAACCCCCCAAACCGAAGACCCTCAAAACTATCCGAACCCCCCGAACCGAAGACCCTCAAAACGATCCCATTTCCGGAGATTTGTAGGTCCGACTACAAGCCGAAGCCTCTCACAGCTGAGAAGATCGAAGAGCCCCTTGGTCCTATCGGTTTAGGGTTTGGGGTTATGGTTTAGGTTTTAGGGTTTAGGGTTTAGGGTTTAGGGTTTAGGGTTTAGGTTTAGGGTTTAGGGTTTAGGGTTATGGTTGTGATGATGGTAACGACTATTCATAATGGTTTTGTCACTGCTATATCGATATTCAGGTCTATACCTTTATGTAGATCTGCACCACATCCAGATCTAGATCGAGATCTAATGTTTTTGTGCTTTGTTTTATGTGTGTTTGTGTGTGTGTTGAAGGTGGTTGATAAGATTTAGGCATTGAGGTGACGGCCTTTGGTGGTGAGTTTTGAAGATATTGAACATCTCGTGTAGGATAGCGGTGTAGGCTATGGATGCTTTTTGGGGTTCTCTAGGGCGTATAATGCGCGTGCTTTCAGGGTTGATGGATGAGTGTTGTCCAAGGTTCCTCAGTCGTAGCCTTTTGCCCTTTTCATTTTGCGGTCTACTGAAACCGAATATTAGGAAAATGGGCACCCTTATTTCCCTAAGCCCTAAAAACCCTAGACCCTAAAAAACTAATCATTTCAGGGCTTATTGGGGAGCCTAGTGTTCGCCCTAAACCCTAAACCCTAAACCCAAAAAGCCTAAACCCTAAACCCTAAAAACAACCCTAAACCCTAAACCCTAGAAAGAATCCCTAAACCCTAAACCTTAAAAGACAACCCTAAACCCTAAACCCTAAAAAGAAGCCCTAAACCCTAAAAAACAACCGTAAACCCTAAACCCTAAAAAGAAGCCCTAAACCGAGTTCATATTGCAACGGCCGGCAACTTCGGGCATCTCCGAGAGTTCGGACTTGCGGTTACCACTCCGCGGGTGCCACTGCCGCTGCAATGACCACAATAACAGCAGCCGTAAGGGTTTGGGTTTAGGGTTTAGGGTTTAGGGTGTGGCCGTAGTAACAATAATTGAAAATTCATAGTAATCCTAATGCGACTAATAAATAACCATTATTAGTATTAGTATTATTATTAGTATTACTATTCTGCGAGTCTTAATACTCATATCAGCGATAACTGTTTATACGCTCTGCCAGCCGTCCAGAGCCTTTTGTAGCACTGATGGTCTCCGGCGACTCCCAGATCGGCTGCATGCGTTCACAGCCGCCTGCAACCCTGAAGCCCTAAAGCCC